GCTGTCCATATCCCTGATATGTCCTTGGGCCATCCCTTGTTGCTAACTGTCCCTGACTGTCCCTGGGCTGTCCCTGACTGTCCCCAGGCTGTCCCTGACTGTCCCTGGACTGTCCCTGACTGTCCCCAGGCTGTCCCTGACTGTCCTCAGGCTGTCTCTGTCCCTGACTGTCCCTGACTGTCCCCGGGCTGTCCCTGACTGTCCCCGGGTTGTCCCTATCCCTGTCCCTGACTGTCCCTGACTGTCCCTGTCCCTGACATGTCCCCAGGCTGTCCCTGACTGTCCCCGGGCTGTCCCTGTCCCTGTCCCTGTCCCTATCCCTGTCCCTGTCTGTCCCTGACTGTCCCCAGGCTGTCCCTGTCCCTGTCCCTGACTGTCCTCAGGCTGTCTCTGTCCCTGTCCCTGACTATCCCTGACTGTCCCCAGGCTGTCCCTATCCCTGTCCCTGTCCCTGACTGTCCCTGACTGTCCCCGGGCTGTCTCTGTCCCTGACATGTCCCCAGGCTGTCCCTGACTGTCCCCAGGCTATCCCTATCCCTGTCCCTGACTGTCCCCAGGCTATCCCTGACTGTCCCCAGGCTGTCCCTGTCCCTGTCTCTGTCCCAGGCTGTCCCTGACTGTCCCCGGGCTATGCCTATCCCTGTCCGTGTCCCTGTCTGTCCCTGGGCTATCCCTGACTGTCCCCAGGCTGTCCCTACCCCTGTCCCTGTCCCTGTCCCTGTCCCTGACTGTCCCTGTCCCTGACTGTCCCCGGGCTGTCCCTGTCCCTGACTGTCCCTGGGCTATCCCTGACTATCCCCAGGCTGTCCCTACCCCTGTCCCTGTCTGTCCCTGACTGTCCCTGTCCCTGACTGTCCCCGGGCTGTCCCTACCCCTGTCCCTGTCCCTGACTGTCCCTGTCCCTGTCCCTGACTGTCCCTGTCCCCAGGCCGTGTCGGGGAAGTTCACACCCATCACGCAGTGGCTTTACTNCCCATCACAATGTCCCTGGGGTTGTGGTGACACTGGGGACATTGAGAGTGTTTGATACATTGAGGGTGTTTGGTACATTGAGGGTGTTGGGGACATGGAGGCCACCATGATCTACCCCAACACAATGTCCCTGAGGCCCTGGCACTGGTGGCACTGAAGACACTGGGGACATGGAGGCCACCATGATCTGCCCCAACACAGTGTCCTTGGGGTTCTGGTGACATTGGGGACACTGAGGGTGTTGGGGACATGGAAGCCACCATGACCTGCCCCATCATGGCCACCTCCAGGTGGTGACACTGGGGACAATGAGGGTGTTGGGGATATGGAGACCACCATGACCTGCCCCATCACAATGTCCCTGGGGTTGTGGTGACACTGGGGACATTGAGAGTGTTTGATACATTGAGGGTGTTGGGGACATTGAGGGTGTTGGGGACATGGAGGCCACCATGACCTGCCCCAACACAGTGTCCTTGGGGTTCTGGTGACACTGGGGACACTGAGGGTGTTGGGGACATGGAAGCCACCATGATCTGCCCCAGCACAATGTCCCTGGGGCCCTGGCACTGGTGGCACCGAGGACACTGGCCCCATGGAGGCCACCATGATCTGCCCCAACACAGCGTCCTTGGGGTTGTGGTGACACTGGGGACATTAAAGGTGTTGGGGACATTGAAGGTGTTTGGTACATTGAGGGTGTTGGGGACATGGAAGCCACCATGATCTGCCCCAACACAGTGTCCCTGGGGTTGTGGTGACACTGGGGACATTGAGGGTATTGGGGACATTGAGGGTGTTGGGGACACGGAAGCCACCATGACCTGCCGCAACACAAGTTCCCTGGGGTCCTGGTGACACTGGGGATATTGAGGAGGTTGGGGACCTGGAGGTCACTGTGACCTGCTCCATTGTGGCCGCCCTCAGGACCCTGTCACCAGCTGGTGACACTGGGGACATCGAGAGTGTTGGGGACATGGAGGTCACCAAGGCTCCACCAGAATTTGGGGACATCAGAGGGCTTGGGGGTGGTCGGGGCTTGGAGGGACATTGGGGACATGGAGCCACTGTGTCCTGCACCCACAGGGACCCCCACCATGGTCCCCTTATCACTTGGGGACACTGGTGACATCATTTGGGGGTGTCACAGGCTATAGAGTGACCTTTGGGGACACTGAGGCCATGGAGGCCACCAAGCCCTGCTCATGGGCCGTCCCCAGCACC